ACAGTTATAAGTTACAAGTTATAATTTGTATTTAATTATCATACATTACCTACAATCCATATAATACATATTACATATTTACATACAATATAATTGTATATATTATTTATAATTGAATTAGCCACTATACAAGAAAATCTATTTATTAAATACCTGTGTAAACTTAAGCATAAGTAGGCGCCTACACAATAATTTTGTAGATGTGTATACGCATTACCATTACGGATATAATAGGCATGGTATAATTAAAGATCGATTATATAATTTACTTTTTGTGTCAATGTGTCATTATTGTCTATAATTAACTATACGTAATAAATTACGACAGTTCCTACCTACATATATGCATTGTTTTACTGTTTATACTGCATTTAAGATAAGTACCGAAGTAGATACGAAGTGTCTGAGCAATTAGTACATTATAGATGTATAACTTTGTATTATTCAAGACAGGTAAAGGTACTTGTACGCAGCTATACATTGCACATATTATACACCTACTGCATTATCTTAAACAAATAATCGAATGAGGACAATACCGGGGGACGGTGGTAAACTAGGTACTTGATATTGTAAGCGATATGCTTAAAAGAAAAATGTAATTATTATTCTAACCACGGAGTAATTGGAGTTCAGGAAAATATAATTTTAGAATTCACTCCGCGAAGTCTTAACAGGTTTTAAAATCACTACCAAAGTGCCGGGTTCACCCAAGTGATACAATTGATAACCTATCAACAATTGATTATTATAATGTAATCAATGCTATCATTGCTATCAGTTATCATTACATTAATCCGATCTCTCGACTCTCGAGTCTCGAGCGCGAAATCGGAAAATAGAAATATCATTCATCAAATTACCAAGGTGAAATATTTGTTCTTAATTAGGTGTTGGTAAAATTATATTACATAACTTTCACGTGTTATTGAAATGTTGAGTTTCAATACTGAATTTTAACAAATTTTTTTTACGAACTAAATGTTTTTTTCAAGTTACATCACTAATTTTTGAAATCGTTCATTAGCGTCCACCTACCTACCGATAAGACGTGTTTGTTCTATTTAAATAAATAATGGCTAACACTGGATTGTTGATATGTTCGAATCCATTTCGACTGCTTCGCATATTTCCGCAAATACAACGTGATGTACAAAGTACGCTCTACGTCCATTTCTTTCCAATTCCAATGCCGGATAAGAAAACTGTACGACATCGATTCATGATGATAGATGCTTACAAAAATCTAAGTCCTATGAACGTGGATGTGCGCATCCTTTTATGTGGTCTCAAGGGCACTTTAGACTCTCAGATCACCACTAAACGACCAGTAGATGTGATTTTCTATGATGACCATATAAAGTCTGAACAACTTCATCATGTGATGTCGTCATTAAGTAACAAGTCTCCTAATTGCAAGACCGTATTTGTAGCACCAAATGAAACTTACAATTCAAATGATACAAAAGAAAATAATCAATACGATGAAATGGAAAATGAACTGTACGAGAGTGTGGTTTTAGGCGGAACTTTTGATAGACTTCACAAAGGTCATAAAATATTATTAAGTACAGCTGCTCTAAAATGCACTAAAAAATTAACTGTGGGCGTAACCGACATTTCCATGTTAAATTGTAAGTTTATATATTTATATCTTAATAAAATTAAGTTTATTAATAGGTTAAACTTACACGTATACTATAAACAAATGTTTCACAAAAACATAGATTTGTAATATTATTATTACCTATTACCTGTTATTTTAATACTGATAATATCAGTATATTATTTTAAGTCATAATATTATGCAAATAGTTTTAATTACTGTAGACTGAAGAAACTATTAGTTTAATTTTTACATTTTCCTTTTAGTTCAGTACAAATCTATTAAATAAGAATATTTTATATCGTTACTGCTATGTTTATTTCGCAACAATTAAAATGTATATATTTTGTTAATTACATAATGATTATGATAAAGCATTATCATTTATGTAACTACCAACAGTACCTTTCTTTTCTATGTAAAAGTAGAAAACATTTTTCATTTAATATAATGTAAATTAGAGTTTATACAATAATAACTGTTGTTTATTTTGTATTAAGCTACCTATTTTTATTGATTATTAATTACTACCATGCCTAACCATAGAATTGAGTGCACTTCTATTTAATTTTACAGCCAAAAAATTAAAGGAACTAATCGAACCTTGTAATACTCGAATAAGTAATGTTGAAGGATTTTTAAGAGATATTGATCCAACATTAGAATATGAAGTATTGCCTATTTATGATATTTATGGTCCAACAATTCATGATCCTACATTTCAGGTTTTTAATTTTTATTTTAAAATTGTATTTATTAGTTAAGTATTTTTAAATTTTATATTTTAGATGATTATTTTAAGTGAAGAAACTGTCAAAGGGGGAGAGTTAATTAATGAGAAAAGAGTTCAAGCTGGTTTGCGACCACTTGATATATTACCTGTGCCATTATTAGAAGAAGATAAATCAACGAGTGATTGTTGTGAAGAAGAAGAACAAAAAATAAGTTCAAGCAATTATCGCATGCGATTGTTAGGTACACTCTTAAAACCTCCACAAGTAAATAAAATAAAAAAAATTGAAGTTTTATGTCGTATTGATAGCTTATACTCAACACTTTTATGTTTAGCCAAATACTAATATACCCTCATCTCCATACATTATTGGATTAACTGGTGGAATTGCAAGTGGAAAATCATCTATTGCTAACTATTTAAAAGATCTAGGAGCTTTTGTAATTAATGCTGATACTTTGGCACATAGACTTTATGATATAAATCAGCCTGCATATCAAGATGTCATTGATGTGTTTGGTCCTAGCATACTGACAACAAATAACGAAGTAGACAGAAAAAAATTAGGTGCTATAGTTTTTAATAACAAGGTAATGGTTATGTACTTATGTCAGTATTGATTAAAATTATATCATAATTATTGTAATGTTATTATTTTTTTTTAGGATAAACTGGAACAATTAAACACAATAATTTGGCCTCTAATTTTGCAAAGAGTAAAATCAATAATCCAATCGACCAAAGGTCATAATATAGTTGTATTAGAAGCAGCTGTTCTTTTAAGTGCAAATTGGCAATACCATTGTCATGAAATATGGGTTTCAATTATTCCACCAAACGAAGTAAAACATGGTTCATTAAATAATAGCTATATAAAAAATTTAATTAAGTTGGAGGGAATGACCTAACTGTTGAAACTTAAGCTTAACTTCATAACATATAATTTTTTAAATATTTGAATATATTTGATAGATAACAGACTCAATTAAATAATTACTTATTTTAATTTAAATAAACCTCTTAAAAATTGTAATTGCATTATATGTTGTATAGTCTAGAGTCTAATTTAAAAACTAAGTTACATAGTTTATGTTTTATAGGCTACAAAAAGACTTCAAGAGCGCAATAATTTGAATGAAAAACAAGCGCTTGACCGAATTAATTCTCAACCATCAAATTGTGAATATGTTAAAAATGCAAATATTTTATTTTCAACATTATGGAGCTATAATTTTACTCATATTCAAATTAAAAGAGCATGGAATAGTCTTTTGAGTAGAATTTCGAGTACGCACTGATTTTTTTCAGGTCTTTAAATGTTTTATCACATTTATTGAAAAGGTTTTGGCTTATTATATTAATACAATATGTATACTGTTAAGATTAATTGGTGAAATGTTTTTTTTTGTTGTTATCTTTTTTTAATGATTTTATTCATAATAAAATGGTTATGTAATAAAAAGAAATAACATGGCAATATTGTATTTGGAAATTTTACAAAAAAAACATGAATTTTATAAATGTAAAGAAAAGGTGTAAAATAGTTATGTCAAGAAAATGTAGGGCGGTGTCAAAAAATTAACAAAATAAATATTTTGTGAATAACTGATGTTAATATGTTAGCATTTAAAGTTAAAAACTATTTGACTAAAAAATTTGATCTTTATCCTTTGAACTACCACTTGAGTACATTGAACAATGACAACAATTTTTTTTGCGTAAGTATTTTATTTTGATTATTAGTTTTATAAATATTCAATATAAAAAAATATATTATGTCCTATCAAAGATAATTTACATTGTTAAAATGAAACTAACTAACTGGAACAAATGAAATAGGTCCTAATTGCATGGATTGTTATTTAAGTGAGCTTTGTTTTAAAATAAAATAGAAAAGATCCTGTGTTTTGTGTGGTACAAGACTTCCTAATAAGTTGATGGTCTCCAACTTGTCATGCATTGTTAATTATTATAATAAAATAAAATTATAGCTTAATCAATTTGATAAAATATAATTATATTATTTATATACTAATTGAATAAGTAAAAGTTTAATTGAGAAGATTAAAATTGTAAATTATCAAATTATTGTAATCTTGAGACATATTTTAAGAATTATTTTAAATACCCAGTGAGTGATGACCGTATGCAATTAGAATTTGAGAAATACATTATCAATAAATATATTAAACATTTAAAAAAATTATTATTTTGTAAAATTTTCTGAAATTGTTAAAAGACATGCACAGTAGCCAATCATTATTTATTAATGTCTTTGTCAAAATACTAGTGTTTTTAAATTAAATACTCAAGATTTATAGTATCCAAAATGAAATCCTCACTCATTTTTACTAAACCATTAAATTTTTTATTCAATGCAATTTAAGATTGTAATTTAGAAACATTATTTAATAACTCACTAGCTTATCATAGTTTAAGATAAAATAATGAACAGATCTGTGTAGGTATTGCTATTACATCATATTTTCAACAAATGTACCAATCTGAATTTTTACTATCTGTTATTAGCTGTTGGGATAAGTTGATTGATGGTTTACCTTAAATGATGACTGATAGACTATAACAATTTACAACTCACAAAATTGAGGTTTATAAATGTAAAAATGTATCAGTCATCAGTTACTAAACTGAAAAGCCATAAAATAATTACTGTAATTTTATTACTAATACCACATAACTACAATCTTGAAAATCCAAATGGGCATTGAAATTGATAAAATGATAAGTAATAAATAATTCAGTTCCTACCTTCACCCAACAAGGCACATTAAATCAAAATTTAAATGATTGTTAAAATGTTCAATAAACTCATTATTAAATTTATTTATTGGTTTGACACCGTTTGATTAAGTCCATTTTGGCATTGTGTACAAACAGCACAATATCACTATGATGTGTAAAGGATAATTATAAACTTTATAAATTCATTGAGTCTACAGAGTACTCTAGTGTTACATAGTCACTATGTAAAGAAGTTCTCAATAGAGTTCTCATATTCAACTTACGGATGCGGCATTGCACAAAACTCTGTAAGCCGACACAAGCGATATAGACACCACTGTAAACCGCAACATCATTGCATATTTGCATCTGTTTTCAGTCATGTTTAAATGAGCTATACCTAATGCTTCTGTAGGTGAGAACCATCGTTTCTCTCTCCGCTATGTTGGCCTAAAAGTGTATGTTTAGTTAAGGAAGGGATTGCCGAATCCATACATTCAATTTAAATCATGAAAAATGATCTTATCTTAGGTCATAATATAAATGCAATAGAGTATAGTCTATCGAGATTCATTTCTAGGACATAGTTTCACTCACTTTATCTATTTTCTACAGTTTCACTCGACGCCACTTTCACTGTTCATCACGTCATGAATCCGACGACCAATAATTAACATCAATCATACTCTACGATTCATTAGCCCGCGCGCTGCAGTTCATGTGCGATGTGCATGATCACGGCCTTATATTAAAAATGACCGTGTGCACCATGATATATAGATATAACCATAGACCAATACGTGTATGGACAAAACAAACTATGTAAGTTTATAATAAATAATAATTAATTTATTCTACTGATATACATAACATACTGTTGTGCGGACTCGTGGAGGTGGAGCTTCCTAATGGCTAATGGTTTATATTTTATGATTAATGACTAATGATGCTACGATACGAAAATCACGAGCGACGAGCCGTCAGTCTTCACCAGTCGGATCAAATTGTGACCAGACCATAGATTATGGAATAGTATGGTTGTGACAACTGACAACCTATTAGTCATGGTTCTAGATCTAGATCTAGACCCACTAGTGTTCTACTGGCTATCAAATGCCGCTACCCCCACTGCCAAATTCTTAGATTCTAATTAGTAAGCAGAAATTTATAGTTACCTATATGTTATTATATTTTAATATTATGATTAAAGTTAAAGACCAAAATGCCAAAAATCTATATCGAACGCCTGTAGGGCTGTAGGATTAACAAAACAAAAAATACATGATATTTCTACCACATTTGATAATCAATAGTTTGTTCTAAATTTTCATAGATATTTAAAGTTATATTACTGGACATATTTTTCGATACTTGTGTATGCTACCTATAAAAAAAAACCGTACGCAAATAGGTAGCATAATATATGACATACCTATACCGGCTATACCTGTCATACTTACTCTTATAATATAATATTTATATAATATTTTTGTTTCATTTTATCACGGGGAAGAATCTGTGACTTGTGTTATTAAGGGTATTGGAAGCGGTGATTTTCTATCTTAGTTTAACATATATTTTAAAAACAATACAATCATTTTTTGATTTTAACTATTTTTTAAATTTAAATATTCTATTTCCTTTATTAGCACGAACTTTTTATGATTCAAAGGGATAAAATCAAAAATGTGGTTAAGTCGATCTTAAATAGACATGACGACGAATTATTTGTGAATTATTCAACTTTGTTTTTAAGAATTCTTATCCTCACTAGATCAATGTATTCGGTACCTACTTGGAATGAAAACACATCTAAATTCCTATGTTCAAAGTGTGTTAGACAAATATGAAACAATCATCAATTTATAAACAATCATCGCTTCCAATCCTCTCAAGCACAATTTAAGATTGAATCTTATTAAACCTAAATAGACATAATTGTTAGGCATATGGGTCATTATTCATACTATTTTCAGTGCATTAAAAAATATATAAGAAAATTTAAATTACTGAAGTTTAATAATATTTTAAGTAGGTAAATTTTTTGTAATCGTTAAAAGTATAAGACTTAAGTAATAACGATAGCGTGGGTGCTAAGCCCAAACTGGTTCAACTTTTTCAGAAAAAAAAATAGTGGAACACATCTAAGATTCAATTTTTATGCAATATCATTTTAAACTGACATTGTTGTCAATGATTATTATAAATTTATAAATAAATTCTGAAATTTAAATTAACTGTTATGAAATGTGCATATTTTTTTAATATTTTTTAAACCGAACATACTTTCTCTCCAATTTTTCTTTGTTATTAAGACAAGTGATATTGATTTATTATTAAAAAGCATTATAATCAGGGAACAGAATTTGTTAAAATGCCAGATATTTTGTATTATTTTTTAATAGTGACACTATTGGAGCTGCTTTACCAATAATATAAAATTGTATTTCTAGTTGTAAATTATACATAAATATTTTAAGTCAATATCAGCATAAAACATTTGATACCAAATTGGACATTAGTGATAACTTATTATTTTTTTTGAGATTAAGAGTATAAACATTTAATGTTAATCTTACAGATGTTCAATATTTTACTATTTGGTGGTGAATTCGCAAAGGATTGATTAAGATTTTGAATCGTGAATGTAGGTGTTTAACTGTTGTAACTGTTATAAGATATTTATTTCACAGTTCTTGTACATGGGAAAATAGATATCTTAATAGTTGAGACTTGAAATATAATAAGAACAAATATATATATAAATAATTTTTGTTAATAATTCTGTCATGGTACAAAAATTGAAAAATGTAGCCATAAATAATTTTTAAAAATTTATATATGGATTAATAAAAAGTTTAACGGTTGTATCAAAAAGGAACTCCTTAAGTTTTTTTATCAACTTGCCTAATCATACCACTACTGAGTTGACTGAAACAGTTTTTTTTAAATTTATAGTGTAATTTATTGTTACCCTTCAAGAAAATAAGTTGTTATATTTCTACTACAAGTATAACGGTTGTGATTTAATGAACTGAATACAGTTAATATTATGTTGTGAATAGCTATAATTGTATATGCTATATATTTTTATAAATCTATAGGAATTAAAATTAAAATTTCTTGCTTTAAGCATATTTGGACTACACTGAAATTCAAATTTTTACCACCAGTCACACTAGATTCGAGTCTCTAATTTTGAGAAACACACTGAATTAAGTAAATACCGCATAGTATGCGACTTAAATGTTATTATTTTATGTATATTTTTAAAAAATACTTTAAAAATAGTTAAACACAAGTAAATCTCGGATGGTTAGCTCAATGACGTTAAGTTCAATTAATTGAAACCTGAACAATTTTTTTTACAGTACATGATGAATTAATCATATTATACTAAACACCAAATAATTTGTACTTACAAAAGACAATACTAAATGTGCATATACATAGGTTATTAAATAACTTTTTCCAAGCTACCTTTATAATTTCTAGATAGTAAAAAATATGTTTTAAGAAATGATTTTGATCAAATCAACATTCTTCAAGTGTTATATTTGTCCATTCTTTGCTGTTCATTTACAGAAATATTTTTTTAAGACACGAAAAACTGTCCTTATGTTTGATTTTGAAAAACAATTTTAAATTATTGCTCCAAACAATTCTTTAATATAACAATGGACAATAATATTTATTTATTATGCCATGATTTTTCATAATGTTAATTTTTTACTCAAATGGTCTATATTTTAAAAATTAATAATACATTGAAAATTATATAAAAATTATTTTTTATATTATTATGTTCGTTTTAAACACAAACCGATTTGATATAAAAAATTTTTGATTTTTGTAATATATATGTAAAAAACTTTATTTGGAGCTTCAATATAATTATAACCTATGCTTAGTGTTGGTTAATAAACAAAGTTTGAAAAAAATAGGAAAATATGTTTAATAAATAAATATAAGACATAATTGCATAAACAGCCGTCTAAAAAAAATACATGCCATTTGCATAAAATAAATAAAATTAGACGTTAAATAATTAATTAATTTAAAAAAAAAAACAATAATATTTATCATTTTCCTCTAAACTTTATGTATAAATTAAATAAGCCAAGTATAATTTGGTAGTGGAGAGTAAAATGAATTTAAAATCAAGTTATTTAGATTTTTATAAGTACAGACAATGTGAAAGCGAATGACAAACAGCACCATTATACATTTCAAAAGCCACTCTATCCAGCTTTTTAAAGGTATGTGCAAGGAGAAGGAAGATGGCTGCTGCATAGTTGATACACACTCGCATATATAAATATGTAAGTAAGTATATATTAATATTATAGAAGGTGCAATAATTAAATAGGTTTCTAAAATTATATAGTAAAACTTATTTCTGTAAATAATATAAATTCAATTTGTATCAAATACTTCCACCACTTGCAGTTTGGCAAGAGCATAAATGTAAATTATCATAGAAAGGCTCTTTAACTACTTTCAGCAATCTCTGAAAATTAAACAACAAATGTATATTAATTAATTGTGGTGTTATACATTATTAGAACTTATAGTTAAATAATCAATGCATACCAGGTATAGCAGCAGCTTTACGTTTTTTTAGTTCATCTTCACTAATACGATTAATTGAAATAATATTATGTTGTCCTGCTCTGATTGGTTTGGCTAAAATGTTAAATAATGAAATTAAATAAATATTTTCAATATTATTATGTTGATAAATTTACCTATTTGTGGACTAGGTCCTCTGCGAGCTAAATTCTTTTGTCTTACTGCATCTTTAATACGATCTACTTCATATTGATACCTTTTCCTATCCCTCATAGCACCTTCTTTAGCATCTTTCAATGCCGATTCAAGTGCCTAAGAAACAATAACAAGGAAGAGCAAGATGAAATATTATATTCAATAATTTTCAGTTATTAAATTAAAATTAACCTTAACACGATCCATTGTAGCTCGTAATCTTTTTTCCAATTTGGGTAATTCACATCGTAGATCTGCATTATCCCTGACCAGTTGTTTGTGGACTTTGGTAAGTTGATCTAAATTATTCTCCAGGAAACTAATTTTTTGTCTTTGGGCTAATGTTCCTCCACTACTGGCTTCATCTGTATCTTCAGCTGTAGCTGATTTTTTCATGCGAGACTAACAGATAAATACAGTTTATTCATACATCCATACAAAAATAATATAATTTTTTTAACATACTTGTAAATCTTGCACAAATATTTTACGTAAATTATGTAATGTTTGAAGTTCTTTGGTAACAGTATCTTCCAAGCCTTTGAGATCTTTACGTGCTTGTTCGCGACGCTCATTGGCTAAAACATATTCTTGGAGGCGTTGACTTTTTTCTTGATCTTCTTGCAACAATTTATTGTAATCTATTTGCAGTTGCTGTTGTGCTAAAGAGTATTTTTGAACTTGATCTTTAAGTTCTGCAATTAATGCTTGTTTTTCACTGATCTCATCTCTTAAATCAGCAACCTAATAAAAAAGATGAATTTCAAATTAATATCTATCAATTTTGAACCAATCTTGAAAATATTCTTATAAACTATTATTATTATTATTATTAATTATTGTTGAAAACTTTATTTAATTAAAAATAGTAACATTTTAACTAAAAAATATGAAAATGTTTTAGGTTATTATCAGGTAATAACAGTACAATATATTAATAT